TGATTTAGAGGCCGGTGTTCTATAGCAAACAATTTCAAACTTGTTTTCGTGCAGTTTCATGTTGTTGTCCTCGGACCAAAGTATGATTTTGTTTAGATCTTCTTGAAGAAGATTGCAGTCGTTTAAAGTTGATATTTTTCTGCCTATTCGGGTGTCATCGGCAAAGCTGCTAAGTTTGGAATCTTTCACGTACTGATCTAGATCGTTGACGTAAAGAAGAAAGACGACTGGACCAATCACCTAATTCGTTCACTGATCTTAAAGGTTACATTAACTAATTAACTAATAAATCATAGGTAGAGTGGACCGCTGCCGATAAATTAAATAGTTAATCTAGGTAAAGTATAGGTAAAAATATGATATTAATCATAAGCTAAAATGTACTAATCTTTTTATTCTAAATGGGGAAAAAGAAGAAACATTGTCAGTCAGTCGAGAAAATTGTCAGTCAGGCTATATGGCAGCTTTGTCGATGTTGTGACTATGCTAGTAGTGGTCCCAGGCTTGCGACTGGAATTGCGGTGTTCAATCGATTTAATGGTATACCAACGATCCACCTCCCACTTGTTGTTTGGTACTTAGCATTAATAGTGTTAGCTGTAGCCATTTATAGCAAGAATCTTAAAACTAAAGGGGATGACAAGGAATTAAAGAGGAAGGAAAAAGAATAACGGAACAAACAATTAATTAAAGTATTTATAGGAGCATTAGATATTGTAATTACAAGCTTCAATAATAAATCACTGACTAAAACTTCTAATTAAAATGACACTTGGTACGCTCGCCCATTTTCACTGGTCAGTCTGAACTTCGGTTTAGCACGTTGTACACTTATTCACCTAAGTTTCAGAATTTGTTCAGTTTAGCAGAGTTAGTACCCGTGTTTCAATAATCAAAAGATATTAGGGGAGTTCTTTAATAATGTTATGGTCATCTAGAATACCGAACTTCCTGAAAACGTTATCATATTTCCTCAGACAACGTTTAATGCCTTTAATCAGTCTATCACGGCTATATCCTCTATCAATTAGAATTTTGAATATTTTGTGAAGATGGGAGGTAAAGATATCCAATCTAGTGCAAACATTACCATATCTAAGAACTTGACTTGAAAAAACGTTGTAGCCAACCTCGGTTGGGATGTTACTGTGAGGAAATGTAAGGGATACAACATGAAAATTAAAATCATCAGTTTTGTTATACACTGATATTTCTAGTCCTTCTGTGGAAATATTAATATTTAAATCAAGGTAGTTAATGATTTTATTATTGGAACCAGCTCGCTCCATCTCCAATGAATTAGGATAAATATCTTTAATCAATTTATGAAAGTAAAGGTAGTTAATAATAGATAAATCGTCAACATATCGTTTATTATTGGATAATATCTTTGCTAATCCCATTTTCTTTTCCTGAAGTAAACGTTTCATATAATTAAATTCCTTTTTGCCAACAGTGAGATCAGCTATAGGGGAACTTGAATTTCCACCCATAGGAATACCTTTGGTTTGTATGAATACAATCCCACCGAAGACGACATAAGTGTTGTAAATAACAAATTTAACAGCCTCTTTTAGGTCATCTTGACTAAAGCAGGCATGAGAATCATAGGTTTTATTGGAAAAGAAACATGTATTACTGTCTCTTTTAGAAATACAAATATATCTATTACGGTCTGAAAATATTAAATCAACAACTTCATTAATCATATTCTCTACTTCAATCAAGTCTAATCTGGTATAAAGAGTAGTAAAATCATATACTTGTATATTATAAACATCGCTATTTTTGATAGCTTCAAGGAATTCACTTGAGGAATCTATGCTCCAAAACATGTTTATACCGCTGTTGTTGTAGATTGCCTCGCAGTATTTCTTGAAGTATTTCCTCAAAAGTTTCAGACAACAGTTAACTTGGACGTTAAGTTGTTTCGTAACGCAAAAACGGGCACCTGCAATGAACCTCGCCTTGTAAGGGTTCTTATGAAGCTTAGGGTTCCAGAAGATGCGTGCTAGTCGCAAGTTTTTATCTTCAACTTGTACATTAAATCTCTCCTTTAGACTCTCAGATATTTTATTGACATAATGAGTCTCGTCTTCGCTACAGGGTTTATATGTATCATTACCTATACATTCTAGAGTATTAGGATCAAAACCCATTTCATTGACAAGAGTTTTTACATAAAACTGTTTACAAATAAATGAAAAATTACCAGAAGCTTTGTCGATACTACAAATAATGTATTTACTTTTCAGCAATTTAAGACTTCTTTTAACATCATCTTTTTCCAGTGTGTTTTCTTTTATTTCAAATGTTTCAGGAAAGTTTTTCTTGTTATATTCAATACGATTGGAAACTATTGATAACACTTTTTCCTTCCAATCGCTGAACTTTACTTCTTTTTGACAGTACTTTCTACTTTTTGATTTTATAAATTATAAATGCTGTTTATACTGTTATTCAAACTGCGCTGAAACAAATCACAACATCAATTTCAAAAAGTGGAACAGAGAATTAATGTTCTCGAGAATTATTTCTTTTCAGCTAATTTTTTTTCTACAGTTCCTCGTCAGGACAGCCATTGTCAGTGTCACTAACGTGTTACTCTATTTAAACTGTTTTACAGATTTTAAACGTCAATCGTAGCTGTCATTCAAAGCTGTTGTTCAAAGTTTCAGCCCTCTCATTTTTGAGATTTACTGTGCTCAATCATATAAACGAAGCTTAATTATTTTTCAAGGCGCGTGCGCGTGGCACGACTTTTATTAAAACGTAAGTCTGCGGTACTGTCATAATTATTAATTACAACGGACGCGGAGAAATTATAAAAAATGAAATGATCGAAAATTAAAATAATGAAATTAATCACGTCAACAAACTATTTGTCCAGTAATTCACCGTATAATTGGAACAATTTGGAAAGCGCCAATTCTGCCGAGATTATTATCACAGATACTGATAATTAATTAACGGGTGATACTCGTAAAATATTTGTTCCGTCGACGAGTCCAACTCGGCGCGCGTCCTGGTAGGTTGTAAACCTACAAATAATTAATTATTATAGACAATTAGATAATTAATTTTTCCTACCTGCATCTAAGGGTAATAATAATTTTGATCCCTTATTAAATCCATAATCGGCGATATTGCAAATTTACATTTAGTCAATCGTATTTTTTCAACCGGATAACCATGTACTAAAATTAAAATAGAATAAGCTATTTATATAAGTAACAGGGTCCTGTATCTAGGTGGACAATCTCAAACTTAACACTTAAATCATCAATCATGACTTCCAATTATAGTTATTCAATTTAAATTATTTACTGAACTTTCATCGTGGAATTTAATAAAAGTTCAATAACTTAGCCCCCACTAAATCTTAAAAACCCAAGTCAAGAGATCATTTTTGGGCAAGCGAAATAATATGAGCCGATAACTTCACTTTAAAAGCTACTATGCGGATAATTAATCATTATCATTACGTACTGATAAATGTAATGTCACACAGTAATCATATAACAGTTGAACAAAGCTAGCAGTAGCAGCGATTACGTCACGCTACTTGAAGTACAGGGTGTACCGTAGAAAGTGTAACTTTTTTCCACTTCTGTAATTTTTTTACAAAATCAAACTTCATAGTTATTTTTAACTAAATTTTGTTGGAAATATATTTGAATTAATGATAGTAATAAAAAATATGGTTAATAGTGAAGCACCTTCCAAAAAAAGCCACCCTTCCCAAAAATTAAATATTTTAGTCTGAAATTGACATTATTCATGGATGAGGTCCAAGATTTTCAAAATATAATAAAAACGTTTTAAAGACCTTCCTCAAAATTCTGCCCGGACAATCTCTTCTAAATGATCCCTAACACATATTTTGAAAGTTTCAGGGTGATTAATCAAAAACAGTCGGAGAAAAATATTTTTAGACTCGATTTTCACTACGCCAGATAAACTCGATTTTCACTACGCGTGATACTGATAGAAAATCGCTCGCACAATACAATTACTTATGAGCGCTGACCTTTGACCAGCGATAACTTCGGCTAGGAACAAAATTTTTTGATAGGAACAAAAGCAGATGATAGACATTACTCTTTACTGTCAAAAATAGCTAAAATATTGATTTCGAAATTTTTTTTTCTTGAGACCCCTAAGGCTAAATAGCTAACTAAGACTGAAAGTGTTGGCCCAAGGCGGATACGACTGGAGTATACTTTCACTTTCAGTTTTGACATCATACGACCCGAAAGCAACCCAAAGAGATTTGTACAGTATGTGATCGATGTAATTAATCGAAACTTTTTACAATTCGTAAGCCGTGAATGAATGGGAAAAGCGAGCAACCGATCTCATTCTCGGTATCATTTAGCATTTGCAGACGGTCACCGTCTCCGGCTCTGGTTTCGGGGTGGGCCACCCGTCCTCTTCTCCCGGCGCTGGGAAAGGGGACGACTCCTACACCCCCACCTCGCCATCTCTCGAAGGTAAGCAGATGGTAGAATTTTCTACTTTTATTTATATTTAATATTTATACTTATAATAGGAAACAATTATTTAATTTCAGTTAGATTTTTAGATGCCCATGATTTTGCGAAAGTTAAAATTCAATAAAAAGTATAAAAGCTGGGTTCGAATAAAAAAGTTCCGTAGCCATAGATAGTACTTTACGCTAGCCGCTTAACGATTACCACAGAACTTTTTATTTTGTGTGAACATTTCATTTCATTTTAATGATAAGTAAAACTATTTGTTACACTTTACAGGACAAAATGATTTTTACAAATTTTAGATTAAATATATGAGCTAAATATGTAAATACTATCCTTATAGGATTGGTAATAAACTGTAAACAGGGTGTCAAACATTCTACTTAAATCTGAAACTATTTTATTTAAAATTTTAGCAATTCTATGATCAAGTCTAAATTGAAATTGTACGCTTATTGGTCCTTAGATGCGTTGACACGACATATCTTCATAACTGTTTTTAACTTAAAGGAACCTTGCTGCCACAACACCGAAGACAATACTGCTGATCTTAACACCTGTACCAGCTGAAAAGTCGCCATGGTGATCGTCCTCGTCTTGGTCCTCATGGTGATCGTCCTCGTCTTGGTCCTCGTGGTGATCGTCCTCGTCTTGGTCCTCATGGTGATCGTCCTCGTCTTGGTCCTCATGGTGATCGTCCTCGTCTTTGTCATCATCAGCTGCATCTCCGTCAGCTGCATCTCCGGCAGCTGCATCTCCGTCAGCTGCATCTCCGGCAGCTGCATCTCCGTCAGCTGCATCTCCGGCAGCTGCATCTCCGTCAGCTGCATCTCCGGCAGCTGCATCTCCGTCAGCTGCATCTCCGGCAGCTGCATCTCCGGCAGCTGCATCTCCGGCAGCTGCATCTCCGTTATCTCCTTCACTTTCAGCTCGCATGTACGGTATCACACATACCAAAAGTAGAACTAGAAGGCACGTGGTTTTCATGGCGAACCTGGTTAATGGTAATTTCGTTTTTTAAACAAAATCATTTTACGATATTTTTAGTTAAGCGCCCAAAATTGTTATTACGTAATTTTGATATCTGATCCTGAAAGTATTACTATTACAGTTTTATGGGCAATATGATCAGAAAAAGGATTTATCAAATTCAAAATTCCTTCGCTTGGCTACGCTAGTGCAAAATCTTGTGCTATTTGAAAAGCAGATTTACAAATGGTCATAGTATTAACAAAAAATATGGAGTTTAATAGGTGCATAGGCAACATACAATTAACACTCTGTAGCGGCCTCGGTTAGTTCTTAGGCAAATAGAGCTAGCCACTTGAGGTACTGAATTCGTCGACCGTCGTAGGACGTATAAGATTCCATTAAAAAATTTAATCATAGAATTCAATCTTCCAATCAAATCAAATCCTGAAATCACGCAAAAGATCTAACTTTTAATGAAATTTGTTTAATTTAAATCTTTCAATTTTATAACTGCGCAAGGTTTCTCCGTGCAATATGTTCTGTTATTAATTTTCCGGTTTCGCATTGTTTTCTGCACCTAATGTGGGAGCCGACTTCTTGGAGCCATGGGACAAATATTGTAATTATTTAATTACTAGTGTAACCCGCGCTTACGGCCGGGACTTCACTATCGCAATAGAAATGCTAAAGTATTAATCCGCCTATTATATTTGAAAACACGCATAAAAATGTCGTATGAAAGTATGAACTCTCTCTACAGTCCAAACAGACCGCAATGAGTGCAATCCCCCCTAATGAGCTAACTCACAAAATCATCATTTTCATAGGAATTAGGAATTAGCTTCCCTTAGTGATTGTAGAACATATATTATAGGACGTGATTTGCAGGTCATGAAGACTAAACGCTTATGACAACAGCTGCGTGGTACTGATAACACGGGTTGCTCCCAAATTGATTTACACGATAAAGTCCTTAACGTCCTCGGTGCAGGACAAAACCTTGTAACTTGTAGTCACTATAGTCATAGATCATAACTGTTTCAGCGAAACAGGAAATTACACACATAGATACAATACCATCAATTATTCAAATTTTTAAAATCCGTCGCGTTTATAAATTTTGTTTCCCTCAGACCACTTCTTCCTCTAGTGACAAAGACGTTAGTGCTCTATAATATCTATCCTTCTTTTCTTTTCAGAATACTATACATTGGAGACCAAAATTATAAATGCCACAATATAAAAATCATTTGAAAATAAGATTTAAAATTAATCATTATTGGAAAATTTGAATAGTAATCTCATTAAACTATATAAAAAAATAAGTATAAAGAATAAGGAAAAGGAACGGGAATGAAGCCAATACCAGAAGTGAAACCCCACCAAAGAATAATTGATCCTTAGGTAGACCTGGTGAAATAAAGTAACTGAACTGTAAGTTTAAGAAAAGACGGAAGGAATAAAGGAGAGAGGAAATAATGTTATGTGAACATCATCAGCAGATGACTTGGCACACCGGTTTCGGGGGTTTAATACCTGTACCGGTTTAATGTGCCAAGACCCCCTAGCAATCACTCGTCAGTGATCACCTGTTCACGTTAAATGTGATGTCAAGGATGTCGCTGACATCAAGTATACTGTATTTGTACAGAATACTAGGTCGGTCTTTCAGAAGCTTTCTGAATTTACTCTTCAGGAGTCTGTCATTATAACATCTTGAACGAAGTGTCCTATAAAGGGTGTTGGTAGAACACAGAAAAGAATCAAGGTCAGAGATAATGGAAGAGTAACGAAGGACCTGACCGTAAAAAACATTATAACCAACAGAAGAGGAAATATTACTGTTAGGAAACACTGCTAGTTACCATAGTAACACTGAATAGTGCTTGTTGTGCGTCTTTAACTTTACGTTTTAGTCCACTGCAGCAGCATTTCAAGTACACTTTCCCTTTGTTAGATATTTGCTAGTATTTCATATAATAGTCGATTCTAACTTTCTAAAAACTTAGAAACATTTTTGTAAAATGAAAACTTGAGACGATTCAATATGCTAAAGAATTTGAAGGTCGATGCATCAGAAGGTGATATGATTTCCTAAGATAATTCCATTACAAACAATGGAATGCTCATCTGTCCTCAGCTGATTTGTCTACACAGTATCCACTTGGAGATGTATATTGGGCGATGCTGGACCACTCCTAATTCATTTAGAAAAGTTTCTTCTGTCCAACGTCCAGGCACATACTCACTGAGTCACATACCAGCGTTACGTTTACCTCGGCTCAGTGTGACCACTACAAGACTGTAAACAATGGTTTCTTTATTTGTAAAATTGACACGAATGTACTACTACTACTACTACTGGAAGAATTTGAATCCTTCAAAATACAACTCACATCTTTGCTCCGGCAGATCCCTGACCAGCCTCCGGTCAAGCGAGACACATCCCCTAATACCAAATCCATCCTGGAATGGCGAAAGGATTCTGTAACATCGGAGCTATGGGGCGGTCAAGATAGTTGATGACTCTGTTGCAGTGCGCTAAACCCAACAAAACTAACAAAACTAACAAAAGTAAGTAAGTACTAGTACACTCTCTAGATACTGTTAGGCGTACTCTCTATCATAGACTCAGGGTTGTAAGTAAGTACTAGTACATTCTCTAGATACTGTTAGGCGTACTCTCTATCACAGACTCAGGGTTGTAAGTAAGTACTAGTACATTCTCTAGGTACTGTTAGGCGTACTCTCTATCATAGACTCAGGGTTGTAAGTAAGTACTAGTACATTCTCTAGGTACTGTTAGGCGTACTATACAATCAATAAGCTTTATTACAATCCGTAAGCCGTGATCGAATGGAAAAAGCGACCGACCGATTTCATTCTCGGTATCAATTTGCATTTGCGGACTGTTCCTCAAATTAATATCATTTCCTTTTGTTTGGAAAAGAGAGACACTGGCAGCGGTACACTCTACCCATGATTATGGGTTTTGGTCAAATCACAATGCTGGCAAGCATTACCGTCGCCCTTATATTCACAATACTATTTACCCCCTATACTATTATATCCCCTTTATTGTTTTCCAGGCATTAAGACTTTTTCGAAAGTAATTCAGCAGGTACATTTAAGTTCAAAACATTCTGATTCAATGTTAAAGATGACAGGAATAAGAAATAGTTATATGGAGGTTTTTAAGAAATTTGCGCAAAATACGCGCCAGCATGTTATACGAAATTAGGTAAAAAACCCAAAATCGCCATATTCAGGTGCCTTAAAAACCATGTTAAAATTGAGTTAGAGATCTGAAACTTTTCAGGGCGTCTAGACCTTGTCCAAGTCGACAGTAAAAAAAATTTCATGTTTCAGGAGTATCGGGAAGTGGGTTTTCTGGAACCCCTGTTTTACAACAGATTGTCGTGAAGATATATAGACGCTTTTTGCAGTCAATTGTAGCCTACATTTAAGTGTCCGTAGATTCAAAAGTATAAAAGATACAGTCATTTCGAACCACAGGTTTTAAAGATAATCGTTTATACTTTAGTTTACTTTATATTGAAAAATAATTTATCATCATCATCATCACTTGATGACGTCATCAATTTAAGTGTTTTTTAAACTTGATTTTTGACAAAACAACAACTTTTCAAATCGATTTTACACCATTAAAGAGTAATTTTATTCAAAATCTGAGGACATTTTCACCTTAGATAATTGTTCAAGCATTCTAAAAATCTACCGGAAAAGTTTCCTACCTTACTCCTTCATAAAGATATTTGCTATTGAAGTTAGTGCTTTTTTGAAGAATAATTTTATAAAAACACAAAAGTTGTGAATTAGTATTCTCTGGTGTTGGGCTATCCCTTGGGTTGTGGAGCTCAATTTTGCTTCTTAAAGGTGTAAATTGTGTTATAGGCTAGTTTTAAAGTTAAAAATCGAAAAGTTGCACACGTGGGGACACGCCCAAATTGATTTAAAATAGCTAAAATCACTAAAAATTTTGATTTTCACGATTTTTATCAACTTTGGAGTCCCGTTGTGATCCAAGTTCTTTTTGAAATCTTCTGAAACTTTGCATGCTTATCAAACTATATATTAAATACCACTACGCAAAAATTTACGGTGATTCAATATTGTATGCGCACGTAACGTCCGCTCAAAGTTTGCACGTGCGAAAGGTGAGAATTTTGCTCATTCGTGATTTCGAATATATTCTGCTTTCCACGATATTTAAATGGCATTATATATGAATTTAATGCCAACTTGAATGAGTAAAAAGTGCCATATTCAGTCGGTTATCGACAGATATACCTAACTAAACACAAGGAAACGTTTTCAAAGGCAGAATTTCGAAATCGTCGAAATTACCTCCTTGTTAATGAAGTTTCGACTAGCTGTGTAAATTATCCTGACATTATAATCAAAAAGAGATGATATTTGACCAAAACCCATAATCATGGGTAGAGTGTACCGCTGCCAGTGTCTCTCTTTTCCAAACAAAAGGAAATGATATTAATTTGAGGAACAGTCCGCTAATGCAAATTGATACCGAGAATGAAATCGGTCGCTCGCTTTTTCCATTCGATCACGGCTCACGAATTGTAATAAAGCTTATTGATTTGAAAAAGCGAGCGACCGATTTCATTCTCGGTATCAATTTGCATTAGCGGACTGTTCCTCAAATTAATATCATTTCCTTTTGTTTGGAAAAGAGAGACACTGGCAGCGGTACACTCGACCCATGATTATGGGTTTTGGTCAAATTTATAGATATATAAAAAGTGCAAGGTTCAATGTTTGAGCTGAATGGAGCCGGTTTCACTAATTTACTCGCCATGGATTATAGGAAAAATGCGCTCGTTTGTATTTCGCATTGGATATAAAAATGACCAATGATATTACAGTTTCATAAACCATATTATGGCCCATTTCGGTCACAAATCGGAGCTTAAATTGAGTTTATT